ACTTCTTAAACTGCGATAGATCGGTTTCTTTTAATGAGTTCATGCTCGGAGAAAATAGCACGACGGCTTGAGTAACGTTATGCGCTTGATTAAAAAAAGCCACACTGATTAGTCAAATACGGTCCACTTGTACGACCTAAAAATTAGTTCAACTTTTTTTAATAAATACCCTGAGAATTCGTCGGAGAATCAAAATCTAATGAGTAATGATAAAACCGTATTAATCATTGCAGCGGACTTCGTGAGATTAATTTGGTATTCGCTTCCACTCATAGAGTATATATACCATCAGGAGTATTATTATATATAATAAAATGCCACTCTGCGCCTGTAGTCACAATACCAGTCATGTGAAATGTCCGATGAAAATCATTAAGTAAAATTTGTGTAACCAATTTTTAAGCGAATTGATGGAGCATCACGTGCTCAATCAATTTTTATCATCGAAATTTTTTTTTCAGCAATTTTTTTTTTATTTATATTATATAGAAACTCGTTCGAAATGTAAGCTTTTTTTAAGATCCTTTTAAAAGTAACAATAAATCTACAGCTTTGATGATAGAAATATGTGCAACTTTATAAGAAGAAAAGATTATTATAAGTTGATTTTTTATAAAATATAAAAACTGAATTATGGAAAGTTTTAATTCAATTCATTGTATAATTTCGCAACAAAAAAAAGCCAGGTTTGTTTATTTTATTATTAGTTAATAATATATTCTTATATTTACAATCTTAAACTAATTATATTTATTGTTTCTCTTTATTGATTTGTGATTTTTGTTCCTTTTTATTTCGATAACTCAAATGATCACACAATTTTTTTCATGTCCAATGTTTTGAAATTTTTAATAAAGCTTCCAAAGCTAAGTTCAGCTGTTCTTCTGTTGGAGTAGTATTCACTAATGGTATTAGTATTGCTAATTCTTCTTCTGTTGTCTGATGCTTGTATATATTAACATGTTTTGGTTGAGGTTCCTGTATTTGATCAATAACATGTGTCGAACATTCAGCCAATACATCAGATTGATGATGTCTTTTTCGATAAGTTTCTTGTGTTTTTTCTACCTGCTTTTGATTTTTTCTGTTTTTTTTAAAGTTGCAGCTTTGCTAACTATTACTTCTTTAGCCCTTCTGTCAGTTGTATCAATAGGTTCCAATTTAAGAATCTCTTGCCAAAATATTTTATTTAATCGTTGCTTTCCAATTTCATAGCAATTATATAATCGATTAAACCCATCCGAATTGAATTCAGAACAATTTTGAAATAACTCATGTTGGTTTGGTAAATTAAGTTGAAAAGCTTCAACCAATTTATC